GTAGGTCTCATAAGTACCTAAAAATGTTATTTGAAAAGTTTTTTCGTTCCTGTCAACACTTTCAATTGAATCCCAGAAAATACGATTTCTCATTCTTTGTGGTGGAATAAAAAGTTTTCCCACAAAAATTGCTGTACTCATTTTATGCATCCATGTTTTAAATACCCCCTTCAATAACTTGCACTAATAAAACCAGACTATACCGTCAGGGAAATTTACTAATATAATTATACTATTATGTGGAGAAAAAACTTCTTGGCCCTAAACAAAAGAAAAGTCCTCGTTGATCTAGATTCTGACCAGCTAAACTGAACTGCTCTTTGGAAGAACTCGACCACCATCCATAAAAACCAGATGAGTGTTAGGGCACTTCCTGTTAATCAAGGTACAGGTTCTGAGAGCATTAAACTATACCAAATTGTTGCGTTCTCAAGCAGTGATATCCTTCAGGTCTCTGGACAGTCACCAGCAAAGATTGGCTTGTTACTCTGAATTCCTGCATGTATTTGTATGTCATCAGCAACAGGATATGGCACACACTCCTTATGGGAGACGACTCCAGGTCAAATTGGTTCAAATTCCAATATATCGCTCCACGTGCCCATCTAACCAAAAGGATCCTAAAACGGATTTCGAATTACAGGATGTTTAAACTTAATAAATTCGAGAAAGATATGTGCTAAAGATAGAGACCAACATGGTTTTATGATTTCTTTGGCCACTGATAATATACTGTAGCTACTATAATGCCGATTTGACCCATCCCATGGATATTCGCCGCTTTTCAGACACATTTTTACATATTTTTTGATCGTATCAAGTAACTACAACTCTCTGGAAAATAATATCTGGTCAAACTGGTGGATATTTAGCTCTGATATTGTCTATACCATTGCGATCAAAAGTTTGTTTTTGCAGAAAGTGTCAATGGTTTCTGAGTTACAAAATGCTGAAAATATCCAAAAATTTATGGAAAATTGTTCCCTGCCAAATTGGCTGCAATTTTGGTATGTTATTCTCCATACCACTTCGATCAAAAGTTTTCATGAGCAGAGTGATCTGATATCAATGGCTTTCGAGTTACAGCGTGCTTTTGGTTGCCTTTAAACTTTAAGGCAATGATCTGGTATTGGCGAATTCGCCAGTTGTTGGCAATATCCATACGACAGGCCACAAAATAAAAATAATTCTGTGTGCTTAGGATCCGACTATGCTTTTTTACGCTGAACACGAATCTGTCGATAAATTGGGAAAAGATCGACACATATGAGAGTAATTAATTTTCTTGCTGTCGTGTAGGAATGTACATCGACCAAATTTGTCAAACTGCGTGATCTTAATTCGTCAACCCACCGCCAATTTTGGTTTCAGAATTGTGTTCAACATGAAAAAGTAGATGGGAAAAACATAGGAGCCCCTAACCACGCACCACTTTTTTCGTCAGTTATCATCTGCAGACTTAATTTTATTAATGCAACTCCCACACCAAACCGTTCGACAACTTCGAACAACAAATAATAACTTTCCCTTGTGTTTCGATTAAATTACCTTCGGGCACTTTCCCTAATATAAAAAAAACTTCCTTTGGAGTCCTGCTGATCAACCAACGATTGCGTCGTTAGACTTCCGCCCTTATCTGGCGAGCTGGAAGATATCGTGAGCGCGGTCAAAAATAATTAATGATCGAAAGCAAGCTGCGATAAATTATCGCACAAAAGCACGCCGAAATTGGAAATAGACTTTGACAAAAGCAGCTCTTTTCTCTTTGCAAGGAACTTTGGCGGAGCGGTCTTGGTGGAAAAATTCAATTCTTACTTCTTTCCCTCTCTGAGCTTAATATTTTACCTGTCCACGCATTCTGGAGACCCAATAAGGAACTGTTTATATTTGCAAAGGAAGTAAAGTATTGACTTTCATGTAATGTAGCTTTGGTAAAGTGCTAATGGCGCTTTCAGGGGTAATGCCATGTGGAAATGGGTTTTGGTGAAACTAAAATACGTGTAAAGGTTCTGTAAGCTTTAGAGTCTACAGGTATATGATTCTTATGAGAAAGTAGAAACTGTTTCTTCGGTCAGTTGAACAAACATAGTTATAGATGTATGCGGTATATTTGCAATCGGAAAGTTGTATTTTGATGCTTAGATTTTTTTGTTAACGATTCAGGAAAATGTTGTTTTTTTACTTCTCCCACCTAGAGGCGAAAAATTAATGTAAACGCAAAAAAATTCAAAACCACGACAAACCATGTCACCGATTTCCATCGGTCTGTCAGTTTGTCGGTCTATCGGTCCGTTCGACTGAAGGTCTCTCCGCCTGTCTGTCGGCCTGTCAGTCTCCTGTCTCTATCTATAACTAGCAAATACGACATGGATTTTGATGAAATTTTCACACGATTTAACTACTATTCCAGGAATGAAAATGCTTTATTGTTTTTGAAAATCGGTCCAGTGGTGACGGCATGAAGGGCAAAAACCGAGAAAAATAAGAATCGCTCAAACTTCGTTTCTTGACACTTCAGAGGCTTCCAGAATTTTTACGCACGTATTCAACCATCACATATTTCCGCATACCTTTGCCCTTAAAACTTAGGAATATTGTCAGACGTAATCCACGGTCATTCGGAATGATGGCAACCTTCATGTGTCAAACTCCCTGTACGCCTGACTGCATCGCCGGCGTTCTCGATCTGGAGTTATAGTATCGCGACTGGCGCTTATCGAGTAGTGGACTAGTATGGGTCAGCACCGTTGCCAGATGGTTGACACTTAGGACAGGAAATAAACTAGTGTAAGCGATATTTAATGGGTGGGGACTAATTGTATGGGTCTGTTTGGCTAACTTGATCCATTTATTTTTTTTGTTGTACATATTTATAGCTAGCTCAGAGGGAGTACCTTGTGCCGACCCTAGGTATTTATTTATGAACTGACAGAGTTGCATTAGAGGTGCGGGGTCAACCTACTAAACGCTATTTTTTTTTAAATTATGTGTTGAAAAATGTATATGTCAGTCTGTTCGCGACACCTAGGCAGAAAGAAACACAAGATGTTCAGTATTTCTCGAACTTTTCTATAAAAGAATCATTAATTTCATCCTTAGTTACGGTATTTTCGCGTTTCTGCCACGTCTGTGGGAAAAACTGCACGATGATAAATCGTTTTCTGAATAGCATTTCTTAGGTCACTAGATATAATTATTTGGTGATGTTGAGCACGATTGGCTGGCCAGAAAAGGACAAAAACGTCTCAATTACCTTTTGTGAAAGATGAGCCATGACACGCCAAACGCACGATTTAGACACTCGAAAATAGAGTTGCTATCATTTATCTTTTGTTGAGCTGATAGAGCGTAAGTGGTGTTCGATGCAGACGTCTTTTTTATAAATGGCGTTCCTGGTTTAGAAATCGGTCGCGGTTTCACTTTCGATGACATATAAACGAGGCACTTATTGTAAGCATTAGAATGTTCAAACCCGTTATACGCTTTTACCTCCCGCGTCACTGGCGAAAAGTTATTGTGATCGCGAAATAAAGAATTGATTGATGACCGTTCCTTTGTAGACGTATTCGTTTTTATGTTATTTCGGTCAATTAGTTGTGAATGAAAATATTCTCACACATCCCTTGACGCTTCGGTTTGTTTTAGTCAAAACCATCTTCTTCTGCAAAAATACTGACCGTCTGACTGTTAGTTAAACTTTGACCCTGTAATAACCTGGGAAGTAGAATACCACTCGGACATTAATGAAATTTTCAAACAAGGTTATTACTGTGCCAAAGCCTTGCAGTTTTTTAATATCGGTCCAGTGGCGGCGGAGATAGGATGGGACAAAAAGTGAAAAAAGTTCTTACGTTTCGGAGGCTCCTGACATACTGTGAGATTTCTGTAGGCGTTTAACATGGTGTTGGGGTTTGTAGATGGTAAGGGGATGGTCTTGCATCTTTGGTATCAGTGAAATTCATTTTATTATTCACAAAGTTCTGACGCCAATAGTAGTGGTATAGTAAATACAGGTTTATTTACATCTTATTTTTCTACATAATCTCCTCTCTTATTGATGCATTTATCGGATCGGAAGTTTTTTCGATTTCCTCATCAAAGAATGGAGCTGGTCGTGTCAGTAGCCAATTGCGCACGAACGTTTCCACACCTTCGTCGTCGTCAAAATTGTGACCTCCCAGGCCTTCTTTAAGTGGTCCAAACATGTGATAGTTACATGGTGACAAATCGGGACCGTAAGGCGGGTGTTCAAGTGGTTCCCAATGAATTCTGCGTATTTTTTTTTTGATCAAGCAGAATAGCACCTCGAATAAGCATGTCTCTCCTTTTTTGCCAATAGGCCAGTTTCACTTCTTTAAGTAGTTGGCCGTAGTAAGCAGAATTAACTGTACGGCGATAGTGAAGAAAATCAGCTAGCATTACACCTCTGGAATCCCAAAATACCGTTGCAAGAATTTTTCTTGCAGAAAGACTAATCTTGGCTTTTCGCGGTGTTGCCGCTCCAGGCTTTCGCCACGTCCCATCACAGGTCACAATATGTCTCAACCAATCATCCCCCTCGATTCGATATCGTGCCAAAAGCCTTTCATACGTCTTAAGACGGTTTGCCTTCTGATTTTTCGTCAAAAGGCGAGGAACCCAACTTGCTCACACTTCCCGGTAAGCCAGAACATCTGAAATGATCGATTTAACACTCCTGTACGATATTCCGCCATGTGCCGCAATGTCGGATACTGTAATTCTTCTTTTACCTTCAAATAGTTCACAGACTGCACAAATATTCGCCTGACTGTTGCTTGTCCTGGGTCGGCGCTCAAGGCTCGCGTTTTCCACTGTCTCTCTGCCATCGGATGTTTTTTACCAGTATTATAGTTGTGCCTCGAAAAGTGTCTTATCGCCGAACAGTGTTAATCGACGGAAAATTTCTGAAGGTTTTACACACTCCCGCGATAAAAATTTTATGGTAATGCCTTGCGCAACATACCTTTTGCTCAGACATGATGCTACTCACACCTCATCTGCTTCGGAGCGCCAAACCGACTGACTCCCCACTCAACATATACCAAGAGGTCGCCCCACTCCATTCACCTATGGACCTATGGCGGGTTAAACAGAAATGTCCGGTTCATATTTGATTCACCCACCTATTATAGGCAGCAGCGGTGGCCGCAGTAGTAGACTCTTCGGTCTCCTGATCAGTCGCCGTGCGCTGTGCGGGTTCGAGTCCCGTCCCAGGATAAATTTTTCTCTTGGCTATGGATGTTGTGATTGCCCGTAGGTGGTAAATGGTCTCTGACTGTCGAACGCGGAGGTACCACCCGGCGGTTCTCGTAGGCGGAACCAGAATGTGTGCATGTTGCATGCACACGTGTTCCCTCGCCAGAGTCCGTATGGCGTCCCCCCCTTCCCCATGTATCCACCTATAGCCCCACGGTACCCAATGGCTGCTTAAGCCTTCGTGGAAGTTGGAATTTAAAAAAAACACAAGTTCACACATATTTCGCATAATATGTACCTGCAACGGTGACTCGAGTAAGACAAACTACCCAGAAATACGTTTGCCTGCTAAGGGTCCGATCCGAATTCAGCAACGACAACGGTGCGCCAGCCTCAGCGTCATCGAGGCCTTTGACGACGCGAAACGATGTAATGATATTACAAGGGCGTACGATGGTTGTCCTAATATTATGATGCACCAGATACGATTATTTCAAAAAAGTTAACAATTCAATTATATTCATTCTGTAACATTACCATGTGTAAGGGTTTTTATGGCCGGCAAATAGTAAAGGTACCAGAACTAACGTTTCATTTGTCGAGAATTGCGTGGGAAGTACGGAGTCAATCTGCTTGATATTACGAAAGCGTTCGATCAGCTGTGTTATGCTGTCCTCTTATGCAAAGTTTCGTTCTCCCAGAGAAGCTTTGCAAATGGGTGGAAGACTCATTGCTTCTTTCTTGAAGGATCAATCCCATCCTCAGTTTTAATGATGACAGAAATTCAGAGTGCCAAACAGATCTATGCCGGTGAGCAGGACAGAAAACACTAGCAGCGACTTCCTGTCTGGTACAGTTTTATACTTCCAAAACACAGTCTGCAACTTTACTGATAAGGAACGCCCTAGCGCTCATCCGGTTTGGATGGATGACCGAGTTCTTCCAAAGAGCCGTTCATTTCGGCTAGTCAGAGCCAGATCACTTGGATTTGATCTAGTACGTACACATCTCATCAGTTTCTGTTTCGTCGATCTGAGAAGTACGTTTCTTCACAGAACCTCTTCAGTCTGTACAAGGTCCAGATAACACCAAGCATCGGGTACTAGGTAAATTTTAATTCTGAGCATCTTTTTATTAATAATTTTATCAAGAAGTTTATTTATCCTAACTTGTCAGTCTATCACAAATTCCAGAGAAATCCCGAACTACAGCTGTCCGACAGACCGATGACTCATCTCTAATGGATAGTCTTGGCTTTTCGCTCCGTCGGCGTTCTGGCTCTCTTCTACTGGTATGTCAACGGGCTTTGCTCCTCGAACCTCTCCTCATGATGTTGCCGCGCATTGTTCGTATCAGACACGCCAGACTTCGGCCTTTCATCCTAACCGTGTCAAACTTACATTTATAACTGGCCGATACAACCGCTCCTCATACTTAGGAACAATCTATCCGGGAAGGTTTTTCCCTGTTTTACTAACCTCATGCAGTTAAAAATCGGATTAGCAAAGTTTCTTTAAACCCCTCATAGAGCCGCGGTGTCCTGGTGTTTAAGCTTCTGTCTGCGTGGCTACTTCAGAATAAAAAAATAAATAAAATGATTATCACTTTTGTTGAGTTATATCTAACATTTTCAGTCGATACATTTCTGCTGAAACTATCTCCATATTAGCCAGCACAGATAGGAATCGTACATAGGTGAGAGAGAGAGAGACGAAATTTACAGACAGACTAACTGAACTGGCAACATAATCTGGTATGCATGTCACATTCTCAGTTCTAGCTGAGGGAGTTTTTACCTCCTCCGTTAGCAATTCGAAGTTAAGTTTAGTGGTCCGGCGAACACCAGACTGGGCGGTCTGCTCCACCTCTTCCTCCTCAAATTTACGGTTGTCTACCGAACGCGCATATTTACATACTGAGGACAATGCTGGAATTGGAAAGTATCCGCGCCATATACAGGGTATTACGAAATGTGAGGAAAATCGAATGACATTCTAAAATTCTACTGTAACACCTTGTATGTAGATCTGTCCTGATAGATGTCATTTACGTATTTGTTATACCGGTCAACATTAAATCTAAGAGTTATAGGGTTGTGGAGCTTGATGTCGTAATCTTTTGACCTGTATCACGACAAGTACAAAGTCAAAAAGTTACCAAAAGTTTGGAAAAGTATATACTTAGCTTTATTGGGTTGCTCAATCCAACTCTGCCGTTAATTTTGCCCGGCTGTTCAGATAATTTCGAACATTTTCACACGCGTTGACCTTAGAATTACCTTAGTTCAACCTTGAAATAACCCCTAGATGACATAAATGCCAGATGTGGATTCAGGGACCCCAAAAACCTGTAGGTGGAAGTTTTCAAACAGATTTAAACACTTCTACAAATTTAATTACTTTAACTGGTCCTTGAAATATCCTCTGGATGACCTCGCTAGGCAAAACGTACGATGCCAGATCTCGACTGAATGACCCAAGAAACTTTTGTTTCAATTTTTAAGTAACTTTTCGAAGTTTGACCTTGGAATGACACTGAACCTGTGACAGACATCAAGTGACCTCGCCAGTGAGATCAGCGGCTCCCAAAAAAGCCAAACATACCTCTATAATGTTCAGTAATAACTCTTACATCAAATATTGACCTGTGTAAATATGTATACAGTGCCTTTCTTTAATGTCCCCTCCCCTTTCATTTTTTGAACGGTTCAATTAGAAAAATTAAAACTTGAGGTAATGAAATTGCTGCGTGGATATCATACTTTAGAGTAAAATTGACAGATGAATTTGTCAAGATGGCCGCTGGGCGCCATCGTGGAAAAAAAATTATATGAAAACGGGGGTCGTGTGGCACATCATTTAGAAGCTCCTGTCGAGTACTTTATAACCCTAGAATATAAAGTCAATACGTTTACCTTCTACAAAATGGTGGTACATTTAATGATTACCTGAATACGTTGACATTTAACTTGATAATTCGAATAAATACGTTGAGTTCAGTTTAGAAGATGCTGGAAATGGTTATCTGGTTTCGTACACCTTTTGCTTCAAATAGCCCCATAAAAAAAGTCTAAAGGTGTCAAATCTGACGGGCGAGCTGGCTATTCCACAGGACCTCGACTGCCAATCCAACAACCGGGGAAATTGTTATATATATAATTGCTAACTTGTCTGTAGTAGTGTGGTAGAGCACCATTTTGCTGGAATACAATATCAGTATTGAATTCATTAGTATTCGCTTCGACGATTTCGGGCATTAGAGGGTCAATAGTATTTTCCAGCATATCCAAATACAGTTTCCCGGTTAAAGTTTGTTCGACGAATAGAGGACCCACAATATGATTTCCCAATATCCCAGCCCAAACGTTAATATTTGTGGATATTGAGTATGAGTTTCCCAGAAGACGTGAGGATTGGTGTAACTTCAATAACGTCTATGCACATTACCGTTGAGAAAAAATGAGCATTCATCACTAAAACAAATATTTTGGATATAGGTAGAATTCTGTCCTTCGATCAGGGTCATGTTCAGTTAGCTGATGTACCATTTATATCTTGTATGGGTAATGCTGATTCTTTCTCAAAAGTCTCCATACAGTAGAAGGACAAACCTCACATACATTCGCGATGGAGGAAGTAGACTGTTGGGGATTTACTATGATCTCACCAATTATTTGAACTTGCTTTTCTTCCGGGATGGTCGGATGACCTGGGGCTTTTTGTTTTTTACACTACCAGTAGCTTTAAATTTAGATACAAGTTCCCTTAAATACTTTCTACAGATAGGACGATTCGGGAAACGATCATTAAAAATCCTTTCGGTCTCGTGAAAGTTACGCGTCGCACCATAAATAAAATCGCTTCGATTTTTTCTTCCAGTGGAGGAGAATTGACCATTTTAAAAATAGTTGAAACAGTATGTAGCACTAAAACTGAAAACTAAATAAGAAAATTTTAACTGTACAATGATGCTTGTTTTCGAACTGATATTCGTGTCACTGTCAACAAAAAATAACAAAACAAGTTTTTATCGCTGTTGCTGTGGATACGGCAGGAAATTACAATTATTTGTAGAGATATGCATGTTAGTGGGTTTGTGTTCAAGTAATAATTACTTACTAAATATTATTAAATGTACCACCATTTTGTGTTGTAGGTAAAGGTATTGATACCTTATAATCCAGGGTTACAAAGTACTCGTCAGGAGATTCAGAATGATGTGACACAAGCTCCCGTGTTTTCATATAATTTGTTTTTTTCCAAGATGGCGCCCAGCGGCCATCTTGACATTTTGATCTGTCAATTTTAATTTAAAAGATGGTATCAACGTATCATTTTTTTGACTTGATCCGTTCAACAAGCCAAAAGGGACGGGGACGGGGACATTAAAGAAAAGCATTGTATATGTCTAGTTTGCTTTTCTGTAGTGTCTTTCCTGATCAACTGATTTAATCTTCTTGTCGTTTAAAGATTACCAAAGCTGATATCAATTACCAGTGGTAATCCTTCGCAAGTGATTCTTGTGACAGGCTGTTTAATATTCTATTTGGCGCGAAACTAGCGATGCACTTGCATTAAGGGGCAGATTAAATAATTCACACAGGAGAGAACGGCTGTCAAGCCAAGCGAAACGCAAAGGACTCCCGATAAATATTCAAAAACACTGCTGTCGGTCTAATCTAATACTCTCGACAACACAAGCAAGCTTTTGTACGAAAGGCTAAGCATAGTTCAAGAGCTGGTAGCTCAGATTTAGTCTGACTCTTCCAATTCGTCACACTTCTGCTTTGCATTCTAAAACGGTACGTCAAGAACTGGCCGGTACGACTACTCGATGGTGTGGAAGAATCTGTCAGAAGGTGGTTCCATTAATCTTAGTCGGGTTAAAATGAGTATATCTGTGAAAAAGTTGAGAGATAGACATTTGCTGTCACATACATTGTAAAAGGTAATAAATCAAATTTGCTCCGGAGACTAGTTAATAATAGTACTCGTATATCAGGCCTTTATTTGTCGGAAAAGAGGCACAAGAAGGCGAAGTTGAGTTGTATCGACTATTTTA